AAATTCGAGTTTGCGCACTTTTTCGAGTGCTCTCATGGTCGAAACACAAAGTTTTCCGTTTCATCTTTTTAGGAATAGAAAACCTTTCTTCACAGAAAATTCGAGTGCTCTTAAGTTCGAAACACAAAATTTCGAATTTCATCTGTTTAAGAACAGAAAACCTTTCTTTAACGAAAATTAGAGTGCGCTTAAGTTCGATCCACAAAATTTCCCATGCCTGTCGCCTCTTTAGAAAATAGAAACCCTTTTCTTCGAGTGCCGTTATTTCCGGCAATTCGGTTGTCCAGAAAACGCGTTCACATTGGCACCCGGTGAACTTTTCCAAGCCTCGTGATATCGCGGGCCGAACTATAGCCGCGATAAATCATAAGCGAGCAAATGGTATCGGTATCGTTTGTGGATCGGACATTGGCGGTAACATAGGGAAATAGGCCATGGTCGTAATGAATGGGTGGCGGTCTCGATTTTCTGTGATCGCATGCAGATCGGTAGGATGGAGATACGGCTGTGATGATTGCCTGGCCGCAGCTCGAATGGCTCGACGTAAACTGTTAAATTACGCCGGCAAAAACGATCGAAATTGGCGTTTAAACCTCGAGGACCGTTGTTACGCCACGATTCGCTGCTCAGAAAGGAAATGGCTCCGGTTACGAGCGTTATGACGGCTCCGGATCATCGATTAGATTCCGTTCTAATTAACGGGCCTCTACAACTTCCCATGCGGTATCAAGACCAACTTGCCTTACGCCGCGCCGCGCCGTTTTGCACGCTCCTCGTTGGAACTTTGCCAATTTGCTTATCCGCACACTCAATGGGGGATCATCTTTGGATCTGTTCTGTACACGCTGGCTGTTAACTAATTGTTATTCTTGCCTCCGGCAAATTTTCCATCCTTCACGTCCCTGATTTCGCTAATTCGGGCTGTTAAAGAGCTGCCGATAGGCTCGTTCTCTTCGATATCTTATATACCAGCTTCCATTTTGTTGTATATTATATTCTGAAGAGTTGCTCTATCCGTCGTTGTTACTCTAGACATGGAACCTCCGCCACGTGTGTGATTCGACTCTCAGTGTTCTTAATATTGTAATCCATACTTATTCTAATAATGCAGCGTGTAGTTCAATAAAACCCCAACATATTCTTTCGATGGTACGGAGAAATATGATCTTACTTGGAGTGTTTTCAGAATTTTTCTGAAAAATTATTTAGGTAAAAAGAAGAAAATATTTCAGTCGTTACTTATTGTTAGTAACGTGGAATATTGAATAACAAGCGGCTGTAATACGAAAAGATCTATATCTTCAGTGTACAACTATAAAAAAGAAAGATTAATAAATTAGCTTGAAAGAAGAAATAGAAAGTGAATAAATTTATAGATATGAAATTAAATAAAAGTATTATTATTATTGATAAATTTAACAAAATATTGTCTTCTTTAATTAAATTGAGTATTGCTAATCGAAAGATTCAGAAAGTTGATAGAATTAAAGTAGAATTCGATAGAAAATTATTACGACGCCATTTTAGAAAATACGATTTTGAAGAAAGTTTGTAAAATTTACTACGCAGACTTTGGACAATGTTATCTTGGACCGCCATTGCAATTTTTTCGATGCAACCTTCGAACTATCGTTCCACGGGAAAAGGGAATTTTTTCCATTTTTCGAAGTTGCAAAGGTGGTGCAACTTTTTAAGAAACTCCATTTCTTCTTTCCGCACCTCTTTCTTCAGAATATACAACTCCGTAAAAAAAGTAATAACGGTCATGATGGGTCGTCTTGGAAGAAAAAATTGGTATGGTCATGCTGGGTCGTCTGAGTATCGTTAAATTTTAATCAAAAGAAGGACTCTCCTGCTGTACATAGCTTCCGAGATAATGCTGGCGCGGCAGTCGTCGTTACACCATTGTAATAAGCCCGCGAAAGTATGCATAGTACGTAACGAATTCCATGAAAAGCAGAAGTAATTGCAGGAACGTTTTCGAAATGTCATACCGGAAGTCGAGAAACTACTGTGATACGATAATTCTCGGAGTAAAATTTTTGCAACGAAAAATCGTGTACCTGTGATTCGTTTGGAAACATCAAAAAGTTTAATCACACTCTAAACGCGTGTTGTCACGTTTAATGATGAGAAATTTTATTTAAAAAAATCAAAAACACCGTAAACTCTTTTTCTTTATTCGTTTTCCCAGCTTCGTTACGATATTAACGCTTTAAAATCGCAATATTGCGAATATAGTAAACCTAACCTAACATATTTACTGGGTGATTCCATATGTTTGTGCCGAAAGCGAAAAATATTTTAATAAAAATCCAAGGAATACAATGGACTTACCAAAAATATAGGAAAAATTTGGTGCTTACGTTTTTTTTTTTCGTCAAATTTAAAGGGTCTTTGGAAATATTAATCTAAATTATAAAATTCGACAGGAACTTCTGAGATGACTTAAGGGTTTCTCGGTCTGCGCATGCGTCTCATTTGCGCGCGTTTTTTAAAAGTTTGAATTCAATATTTCGTTGCAATAGTTCCTTTCTTCGTCTCTGTGTAAATTCTTATTATTGATTTATTGTTGAAATATAAAGACCTTTAAGTTGATTGGACATATTTATTTCATCTTAACACTTTCGAACCAGTAACTTAGAAATGCTTTCGAATTTTTCACGACATTAAAATTATTCACATCGTTGTTCTTTACACGAATATTCTATATTACACGATAGTAGTTCATACGGAAAAGAAGAATTAACTAGACGCTGGCACGGTGTAATCAGAGTGAAAATGTCTCCCGTTGGAGAATTTCACGTAAACGGCAAAATAATCTAATTCCGCAATAACCGCGTATTATCCGTAAATTAACTTACAAATACGAAAGCGTGCACACACGCGTGTACGCGGGGCGCCATAAGTCACGTGACACGAACGAATCGCGCGACACTAACGACGCAGTCTGCCGCTGATAGAAAATAAAACGATTTAGTAAACAATGGATAGTATCTATAAAGGGTGAACGACGTATAAGCTTAACGACGGCTGGCTGGGAAATAATGGGAGAACGGGAGCCGTGGGGTAGGAACGAAGGAAAAAGGAGAAGTTGTACGATCCAATGTTATAAAGAAGGAAGTGGCGGCCGGTAATAAGCTGACGCGCGGTGGGATGTCGAGAGAAACATAATGCAACGTGTTTCGCATCCCGCATTATCTTCGGATACGACTTTTTAACGTTAACACTGTCTTGCTCGTAAAGCCTCGAGAAACAACCTCTTTCGAACAAATTCCACCAAAGTTGTAAAAAGTTTTTTCATAGAATATTACCGGCGGAGACAGTCTAATCGTTCGACTTGCAAAGATATAAAAATTTAAAGAAGTTAGTTTTTTAATTATTCAACTACTTCTACTTTGGTTTCTCTTCGTTTAATATATTAGATCAGGGGTGTCGAACTTCCTCCCCTCGGTCGGCTCCTCCATTTATTTTCCTCCGAGAGTTTCACGAGTGCACTAAAATATATTTATGGTCTTGGTAGTGTCAGCTGCAAACAGGAAACTTATATATTGCGCGGTGCTCAAGAGATTGCCCACGGGCAAGTAAGGGCATTTCGCCCGCAGCTCCCAAATCTTCAGCCACGCAATTTTAAATGTTCCGATTCGCCGATGTTATCGCGTCGGACAATAGTGACGATACATGTACCCTATTTTTATGCTTGTCTTAGAGAAGGTCCCAATAAGACCCGCATTCCTTCCAGGGGCAAACTCCTAAACTCTACACAGTACATGTGCGTATGTAGTAGTGACTAGCCTGCTGATGGTAGGACTCGAACAGCATCCAGAGGAGAAATTAATCGGAATGAAATAGGTTCGGAGGGGGCCGTTCACCTACTGCCCTACGGGGCAAGCGAAGGGCAGTATAAAAAGCCACTCGCAAGCCGCCAGTTGGACAACCCTGAAGTCCGTTCAAAATAAGAATAACCTCGCTCTCGGGCCGATTTTCGTCCGTTCTGCGCATAGACAGAGAGCGTAGCAGAGGGTAAGACGGAGAAAAACGTAGGCGGTTAAGTGGGGGTTTGGACGTTCTAGTCCCATGCGCGAAACGAGGTTATTCTTATTTTGAACGAAGTGTAGATAATTGCATATACTATTAAAATCTCGTGTGCGGTGATGACATCACTGAACAATAGATGTGCGCACTGATTGGGCCTGAGCTAAATAGACGCATGGTGCTCGCTGTTTCCAATGATCGATATTTATTTTCATCGATAGTCACAGAGTTTTCGTCCATCGTTCAGTTCTGACAGTGTCTCTATAGAATGCACATAGTGTGTGCATTTGAAAGTTTTTCCGTGTTACGTGCATTTTTTCTTGTAACATTCTGTTGTAATAAGCTGCAGTAGTAAAAGCACGTGAATCACGTGATTGAATAATAACATCGATATTAATATATTTTTCAATTTTTCTAATGGATATCGTAGAGAATCGAAATGCGGATAGTGAAATAAGGGAAAGGTAGAAATTCCCATCACGTGGCATAACAAAAAGCGTTGGAAAAAAGGGTGAATGCACACGTTTTACCGTGCGTTTTTGCCGATACGTATGGGCGCGCGCTGTTTACGATATTGCGGTCAGTGGATAGCACGTAAACACACGGACGGCCGATGTGTGAGTACGCGAATCGTTCCGCGTCTAATCATTTTTGTGTTTCAGGGGGTCGATTAATCCCCAGAGTGCGGTCTGACCTACCTTTACCGCGGCTGTCCGCCAACTGCGTCTAGGTTAGGTTAGTTTAGGTAACTCTTAAAAATGAAAACAGTGACCAGCCTCCCGCCCGTACTTATCCCTTTATGCCCAACCTCATAACCGACTCTAAAAATCGACGAAGTAGTATCGATATGTGTTCCGTAGAACAATTATACGTTGTGAAAAAATAATCGAGTATTTTTTAAGTATATTTTAATTTTATACAATAGATAATTGTAGATTTTTGTAATGTTGTTTTACTGATTGCAGGTTTCCTGGGTAAGACATCGAGATATACACCTGCTTACAGTAGGTCGTTACACCTACACGAGTGACCAACGTTTCGAGGCGAAGCACATCCCTCATACAGAAGAATGGACGCTCTGGATACGATACCCACAGAAGAAGGACTCCGGTATATACGAGTGCCAAATATCCACCACTCCACCCATCGGACATTCCATTTACCTCACCGTGGTCGGTAAGTTGTTCATCTGCAAACCTCAACGCAACTCTATTTCCCTAATTGAATTACCAACGCGGTTCAAACGGATAAACTCTAACTTGGTTATTTCATTTGAGTCGAATAAACCTTGTGACGAATATTTTTTACGGATTAATTCTGTCATATCCGCGTGCGTGTACCGGGTGATTCAGAAGTTCAGGAGAATTATCATTTTAAATTCAATTCTTGCAAAAGAATGCAAAATCAGATGTATAATTTATTAGACGAAATGTTTCCATTCGATCTATCCGTAATTTTGAAACACCCAGTACGTTGTGTTCACATTGCGTCAGTGGCAGAGCGCCAAGAAAGAAAGGCGAGTAAAACCGATGGTTTTAACGAACGACGCGAGGTGTCACTGGCGAAATTATTATGCGGATATCGCAGTTTAAGGGGCGACTTATCGCCCGGGACTTCATAACAAAACAGATGTCGCGGTAGTGACGTACGTATCGGTCGTTTAATCGCACACGCGACGACGCGACGGCCACGTGAAAGGAAATTGCGTTATTATTCCAGCGACGTAATTATACGAGCTAGTATAAGAGCGTGCATCGAGCGACGTGGAAGCAAGAGGGAATGAGAGAGAGAAGAAGATGAAATCTTCAGAAGGTATAAACACTGCAATGACAATGCGAAAACAACGTCGAACGTACGCTTAGACGATATCTGATGGAACGATCTATTAATTTTAAGGAAATTTCGTCTCGGAAGATCGTGATATATATGATTATCCGCTCACAATCGTTCCCATAGTACCGAGGAATTTTACGACGAGATATTCCATTTTTACGAGCTAAATTAATCCCCATTGTGGATATACCGTGATAACGCTAGATAACGAAGAGTATCGGTGGAACCGATTGGACAACGAAATTCTTATGTTTATTAAACATATGAAATGCTATATGTAGTGACGTTGTAAAATGAGGAATAGGTTTTTATTGAACAGTCTGTGTAATATGTTTCCAGCGTTACATTTCAGTTGACAGTCAGAAAGTTAGGTTAGGTTGAATGTGAGGATAATTTATGCGTTCTTCGGGTAATGTCATGTTGTACAAATATTCTCTTTGTTGATTGTATTTGCTAATCTGCAAGAGTATAAGTGAAAGAAAATCGTGAAAATAAAAACTAACCAAATTTAACCTGAACGAATTATTCAAAGAAAGAAGAAATGTACTTGTAAAAAATAAACGTAATCATGTGAAATTTGTCGGTGAATAGCGAGATTCCTAGAAAATCATAAATGTCGTTCTGGCAGATATCCAGCGTGCTCAAACAGCGATAGTTCCATCCTTTAGTACTTCCCAGGAGACTACAAACTTTCACGTAGGAATGCCACTTCCCGAAGCATCTTCACGAACTATAAATTAACACGATAAGGTAAGGTGTACCATCTACCCTCATACAGCCAGAACCTTTTCGCCCTTAAAGAAGAAAGGTAACGCGAGATTCGTATGCGTTGTGAGCGTTCTAACCTAGAAGCGGATTCAAACGACTTCCGAAAGTAGCGTCAGCCCGTGAACGGTCCCTTTTCTCGTGGTAAATTAAACGCGAAAGAGTTAGAGAGCAGCGGAAAGAAGTGGAAAAGTAGAACGAGAAAAAGGGTGGAAAAAGAATCGACCATTGGGTAGGTATAGGGCGTGAGGTAGAGGGAGAAGGGAAAAGGGGAGAAAAAGAAAGGGATATCAGAGGACGTACTAGGAGATCCCGGCGATTTCTCTTCTTTCATTTCTTTTCACAGAGCAATAGCTTCATTAGTCTCGGCGATAATTGGCTCGGTTCGTGACTCGCTTTCGCAAAACACTGTCCGATCATTGACGTCGTTATCCTTCGAGGACCGATCGTAAAGGGCCTTCCTTCTTTTACTATGGCAGAGAGAAAGAAAGAGAGAGACTCGTAAGTCCCTTGGATATCCGACTCTGTGTAACACTCGAAGGAATCACTTGATTTCTCTTTACTCGCTTCCGGCGGATTTCAGCGTTACCAACTACTGGCCATGATCGGATAATGGCCAGTGACGTTGATCGATCGCCTATCCGGCGGATACACCGATGATCCGTAAGTGGAACGTGCGGTCGGATAGAAACGAAGAAAATTATATCGTTACTGCATTGTTCGGCTACGATGGAATTTAAGCAGCCCTCCAATCTTCGAATTTATTGGCAATTCTGTGAGATCAGATTCGAGAAATAAGCTGAAAGGAAATTGTGAATCTTTCTCGTGACTTTTTTTTTTTATATCGTTGAATTATATTTTGCGAGGTTATATGGGAGTACGTATGCTGTGATACTGAATTTTCAAATACGAAATTTTCACTGTATAATATTGTAAAAAGATTAAAATTGAAGTTTACATATACTATATCGAGTAACTTGTATAGTTGATAGATGTCGCCGTTAAATTCTTATTGTCATTTATGCGTGAAACATGCACATGTGTGTCTAAAGATGTCAAGGCGCATACACATGCATCATCCAACGCGACGCTTCACGTATCTGAAAAAGTACACAATGCTTTGTACTGCTTCAGAAAAGAAGAAAAGCGGAACAGAAAAGACGCATAAGACGTATTGACGTTCAAACAGACAGCGTGGCTGAAAAACGAGAGCGAGCTATGATTTCGAGTTGTGAAGTAGTTCGACTATTCACCGTTCGGCGGCGTCCGATTGTTCCAACATTCGATGTTCGAGCAAACGGGCATGCACGTACACGTACTTACACACGTAACTGAAAGACAGGCATTCAGTGAGCATCTTTAGGAAAAGCTCAAAAGGTGTTCGACAAATTGTTCATTCGTGGCGACTCGACGTCGCTTTCGCCGCTGGCTCCTTTCGCGACGTCTAATAAAGGAAACAGACTAGAACGAATCGAGAAACAATTGCCAGGCTTTCAGTGGCATTCTTGGCACCCGATACCCGTGAAATTGTCGCGACAAATTGAGTCTTTCTGACAACAACGACAACATCGACCTTTCCTCTTCGCTGTCTGCTCCTTCTAATACTCGTCTCTCTTGCTCTCTAACTACTAGTAGTGGAATGTACTACGCTGGCTGCGTGGAAAAGAAACGACTGTCGCTCTTTTCGATGTATCCTTTAAAGCTCCCTTTTCCTTCGCGAAAGCGCTTGCTTCCCTTCTACCAGACTGCTCTTCTGCTTCGTCTCCATCAAGTTCCGCTGGAAATTCGTGAATTCCTTTCGTTTCACTTTAACAGAAGAATCTGTAGAATTTATATGTGATTCTTGTAGAAACATTTTCATGGATGTGTATGAGTGTATAAAAGAAACAATTACTATCTCCTTGATGACGCATAGTGGTTTCTCGAAATAATTAAAATTTTTCTTTCGAATTTCCCTACTTTTGCGCAAACATTTTCATATATTTAACCTACTCTAATATTTTAGTTTTCTTCTGTTACATTAAGAACGATTTTCATATGCGAGAGTGCAAGAAGAAATTTGGAAGACGAAGAAATAGTAAGAAAATCGAATGTATATTTTTGCCGGGGAGTTTCGCGTTCTACTTCTCCGCAAATTGAGTTTGTGAAATCGAGTCTCGACATCATTTGCTTCGACTATTTCTCCCAGTTTCTTTCAGCCGTTGGCTTTTAATTCCATAAAACGAACTTCGTTTTCGCTAATGTGGCCCGAAAAAGAAAGGTATTTAAACATTTTAACCACGATACTCCATTACAGAGATAAAGTTCATTCCTTGGATGTCAGATTAAAGTGCTCGTGGCTTGAAATTTCAGAATGTTTAA